CTCATGCCCCTCTGTCCCAGCCCCCCCCAACCTCCCAGCACCTTCTCCCCCTCAAAATTGCATTCTGGAAAAAAACAGCAATCTTTCCATGCACTTGGTTTATCTCCTTCATAACAGATTTCAACAACTGCACAAGATGTTTGAATTCTTATCGTTTAGGAAAATCACTTACAGTATTTTAACAAGTGTAGTTAAAAATCTTAGCTGGAAGCAGTACTGGGGAAAAGACATTTAGTCACACCCTTCTGAGGTAAGATAAAAAGTATCTTGAAGTTTGCTTCTGAGGTAGACCAAACTGATTAAATAAGCATGGTGCTTAGCTCACTTTTTTGGGGCAGTAGGTTATTTAATGGATTTTATACAGCATTTTTCCTGTACACCACCACACTTATCTACAGCAATATTTAAATCTGTTAGCAATTTTTACTAACTGTATACTACTTCCACATTAATAAAAGAATGCTTGTTAGAAAATAGTGAAAGTCAGTATAGAATTGAGAGCCTACTCCTGCTGTCTCTTGACATTCCAAAATGGAGTTGAGAAGATAGATAACTGGTAATCTTAATGAAAAAGAATTACACGCTGAAGTTGAAGGTTTACTTTTTATGGGCAAATAAAAATAAATAACTCTTTGGTAAACAGGCTAGGGTAGTCAACTGTGACTACTATTTATCATTCACTAACTGCAAGTCAAAAGTAATACTCAAATTAACTTCATATTTTTAAACAATTAGTAACAATTGTTTTATTAGGCTTCCCTGGGGAACTGATGTACAGGGATATAAGGTTTTACTTGCATTTAAAAACTTATACGTTTACATGCAATTTAGGTATTGCCCTAAGGCTTCTAAACGCACTGCTAGCAAGCTTCTCTTGTATCTAAGTTTATTTCTCTTATCAACTGACTCTCCAGGCATACAGCCAGCAGGCTCAAACACTGATGTAATTTCTCCTTCTACAGTTACTATATATATATATATGTAGATAGGATAGTCTGTACTCGAGTCCCATCTGAGAGAAACAACGCTTTCTCCATTTGATAGTTAAAACTTTCCAAGATTATGGAAGCAGTAAGAGTTATGGAAAATGCTTTATAAGGCACCTAAAATAACCACTGAGACTTCAACTACAGTATATCTGAAAATCATTTATAACATTACTTTCTCATGAAAAAAAAGGCAGTCAATACCCATACTCTGGAATCGGTAAGACACCAGTTATTTAGTATGTGCACACTGACTACTTGTCTTAATCTGCATGCCAAAGTTACTCAGAGGCACCTTTCTTGCCGCTTGCTGGAAAGCCTGCAAACAGTTACCTGTACTCTGTATTTCTCCTTCTTCCAAGTCCTTATTTAACAGGTTTGATGTTTCTAGAGAGTTCAACTCTTCTAGTGAATTCTCTTTTTCTTCCTCTTGACTGTGAAAGTTTTCTTCATCCTCAGATTGAGAGTCAGGTTTCCCTGACTCAAGGAAGATCTGACCTGCTACCACCCGAGTTCCTGTGGAATGGTCCTTTACCTGGTCTTCTGCAGATAAAGTCTAAAAGAAATCAGTCATATTATTATTCATAAGATTGCCAACTGCTGCTGTTCAGTTCCTAAAAAGCATTATTTTTTAAAGATATGCTCAATGAACATACTAAGGTTAAGCAGCAGTATCAAAAGTACATTGCTGAGGTACCTCTGTCAGTTCTTAGTGACTTTTCCTTTCAGTTCTTTGAAGGAGAATGTTTTTCAGAGCGTCAACACAACATAGTTGCTCTGTTGCACAGAAGAACATTAATGCAGCAGTGAGAGCTACAGTTTAAAAATGGATTCACAGCTCTGCGTTTCAGAGCCTTGTTCTCACTCCATATGAGAAACAGGATGACTAAGAACTTACGCCCTCACCTTTGATTCCAGCGACTCATCTTGATTTCCCTCTTCATCTATAAGAGATGTTAAAAGTCATTAGAAAGGTTTCCCGTAAGTAGTTTTCCTGTAAGTAGTTTTCCCCAAAATAAAAACAAGTTTCACTCTAGTATTGCTCTAAAATATTCTATTGTTCTAAGTTTACTAACACACTTCAAAAGAGCTGTTACAGTTGACAAGAAGAATCAAAGGTTTCACAGCTGATCCTCTTCTTCCTCAAATTATGTCAATGCAACTGTATCGAACACTGGAAAAAGCATGTGGAATACTTTAACAAAAATCAGTTCTCTAGCTGACTACATAGTCTGAGCAGGTCCAGTTTAAAAGACTTTAGAAAGGTAAACATCAAGTGGAAATGACCTGTGGAAGCTGAGGTTTTTAGTCACCAAATCAGCTTTCACATAAACGGCTTCAAAAATGACCAGGAAGTCACATTAGCACCATCCAACTCATACTTAAATATTGTTCTTTGTAAAAGGGCACCAACTGATCTTGTCTGACCAGCACATTCAAACCTTTGCATAGAGATTTGTCTTCAAAACTGTGACAAATTAGACTAGGAGCGAGCATTCCAGAGCTCTGCCGTTGTTTGACTGATGTCTTCCTCATCTGAATGGCCTGACGTCTTTGGTTAGATTCTAAACGTGAAAGAAGAAACTGTAAAGAAGGGCTGTTAGGTAGAGACCCACTACAAAGCAAAAAGTGAAGGTGAAAGAGAGAAAGCCCTCAAAAAATGACAATAGTTTTGCAGTGTTGTTTCTGATTTTCTTCTAGTAGGAAGGTCACCTAGTTCAAATAACTTGGTTTGCATTGGCATTGCAAAAGCCTCTAAAATTATCACAGCTGCAACGTGACCATTCCTACCCATTGGGGATCTGATACCACCTCATTTACGTAAAACCACCACCACACATTAGAAAGATGCTATATTCCTCTTTCTCCCTACTGCAGAACTCGTTTATACCTAAATAAAAGGTCAAAACCCTAAATGGGTAGCTAAGTATAAAAGCTGCCACCAACTCCTACTACATTTAAAACTCTTTCCTCCCTCCCATTCTGAGACTTTTGGGGTATGTACTGTCCTATAGCAGCTGATGGGTTAAAGACCTGTTTTACTTATACAAAGGGTATCTAAACTGATAGACACTAGTGCATTGCACATGAGATATACTACTGTGCACTGTGATTAGCTATTAAAGACTACCTGGCACAAATGCTGCATGCCAGAAGTTTATGCAACTCTGCCGACTTTCTAAAAGCATTCTGCAGCAAACTACACTTGCAGATTTATCATCTTCACTCAAGTCAAGCATCTTACTAGAGACAAGTCATATCTGAAGTGACAAACCACAAACATAGCATTTCTTTGACTTCTTGTTTTGAAGATTCTAATGGTACTGTAAGGGAACAACTGCAGGTACTTTCAGTGCAAGGGCTAATCTTGGAAGCCAGATCCCAGAAAGACTCCTGATCAGAAAGTCATCTCCTTTCCATTATTTGAAGTCTAACCTTTGGTTACAACAGGTTAGTGATAAGGATTGCCTTTAAAGTGTAACAGCATCCTAAAAATCAAGAACACCACCAAGTCTGGCAAGTGAAGCTGAGTAACTGATGTAAAAGGAGTTTGGCAGTATAACTGAAACAAGGAGATAACCGTCTACTGTGCAGGATGCAAAGCTGAACAAGTTTGGCTCCCAGAAGACATGAGATTAGAAAGGATCTGGAACAGTCACTGGGTGAGTAGCTGTATCCTACACAATCAATAAAGGGCAAAGAGCCCTTCAGAGTCAATAATGGGCCAGCAGGACAGAGCAGCCCAGATGAAATAGACCCTGCAAAGAGCAATGAAGACAGTATATGAACACACACAAATTTGAAGAAATACCAAAAGAGGTGTTAAACAACAGAAAAACAAGGCTAGCTGCATTTCTGCAGAGATTACAGTGCTTTTCAGCTTGAGGAATCTAACACAAGAATGACTCCAGTAAATCCTGTAAGAAGCTCTACCACTGAGCTTCAGCACTTCAGATCACTATAAAGTAGCTGGTTTTAAATACATTAAAAGTATGCACACATTTAGGATACTTGCTCTGTAATTTCAAAATAGGAATGATCAGCAAGTGGGATAGAGTGAAATTAACAATTTAACATATAACTCCCCAAAGTTACATTGCAATAAACAATCTTGATCTAAAAACAAAGGCCATCCCTGCAACTTCAACCTCTAGAGCTCATCAAGAGATTCAGGTATGTTTCTGCAGTGTGGAAAAACTGAGCCAGGGTTAAATTACCTAGTAGCTTATATGTGGCTATTAATATATACCAAGCACTTATGTAGTACCTGTTGCTGTAGTAACAAGCAAGTTTTTATTTTTAACAGCTATACTAGCTAAGTGTATTATTTTTCCAAGTCTAGGCAAAAATCAGCCTACATGTCTGACATAGTAAAGCCTTTACCAAAAGCCAGAATGGTCTAGTGTTAATTTCAATTTGTGGATGGCTGACTTTACAATAGAAGACCACATAAAGCCAAATTAAAAAAGTGTATATTATCTGCACACATACATCAAAGAACAATTTTATTGTAACTTCATTCGCACAGTAAAGGGATTATGAAATTGAGAAGCAAGAAGCATCTGAGCATCATTAAATGTTGTTCCTTGAAAGTAAATAATCTATTTCATTTCTATTGCATCATTTAAATTCTCTCTGAAGGAACCAGCTTGCTATTAACAAGTTGTAGGCAAAGCCTACTTGCATAATTATCTGTAAAACAGTAGTTCCAAAGCAGAGCACTAAAGCAACAAAAGTTATTGGTTTAACTGTGGCTCTTGGGTCTCCTTTTCAATTAAATAGACGAGTCTGCTGTGATGATTGATAATCTGACTAGAAAAGGGATCATTTACAGCTTTGTTATTACACTGCATTGCTGGCTAATATGCACCCCCTACTCATAAAAGGGCATCTACTTCTGGAGACAGCTAAGAAAGCTGTTCTGAAAGTGTTAATGAAAGATCTATGGAAGGTTACATTTGGGTCTAAAAAGAGTTTATTAGTCAAGGCTCAACTCCTGAATGAATCACAGATACTATGTTTGTGCACCTGCTTTAGAGATTAAAGCCGATAGTTTAATTTGTTTTTCCGCAAGCAAATCCAACAGAAATATTAACTGATCTTTTTTCCGAATTTGAATCTGTCAGCAAGGTTACCTAATTCTATAAACACTTTCTAAAAAAAGCCATCTGGAAGTTAATCCTACCATTTGTTAAACAAATTAGAGAGATACTATGATATATTCAAAGGAAAAAGTAGACAAAAGTATTTATGGTTGAAACAGGCAACTGCTAACATTCTACAAATAAAAAGCTTCACTTAGAAATAATGCTACAATACTTGTACTGCTAGGTGCCCGGCTAGGTGCCCAGCTAGGATTCCAGGGCACTCCATACAACTAAACACTTGTTTCAAGCATCCATCACATCATATATAATTAAAACTAACCTTTTACAAGGTATTCATGTTTCCTCAGTTAGAAAGACTAGTAGCTAGTCTATTTAAATACAGCAAAAATACTCTGGCAGCCTCTGCTACATAAAAAGAGATTCTACCATTTTGGAGATTTACCATTTTCAAGAAGGTAGTATGGAGGGAGAGGTAGGAACAGGAGGAGCTACACAGTGCAATTCAGAGAGGAATATCAGCAACAGTTCCAAATTCAAGTTCCAAGTAGTTTCAAAGCTTAAGTTTTGTTGCAGCAAAAGAACAAACCAGCTGACAGCATATAAAGCTAGAGAGCTGTAACTACCAGGTAATAAATATTGTTATTTTACTAACATTTTAACTTTAGAAGGACCACTCGCCTTTGGGAAACAGCTGAAAATTCAGTAACTGCAGACAGTAAATAATCTCCCAAACCTCTGACGAATGCCCTAGCTGATCAATGACATTCAGCTTCCTCCCAGTTTTTGCCATATGCTTTTTCAAGCTCGAAACACTATCACAACAAAGCAACTAGTAAGACTTTCATGCCCTAGAGCACCCAGAGACTCTGTGGTATTTTCAGTTATTTCTTTCAATGTTCTTTCTATGCAAAAGACTAGTTAAGCTTTGAAACAGAATGCAAGCCTTGTTCATCCTACTTTGAACCTCTCAGATATAAGTTCTGTAGACTCCTGCCATTAATGGAACCAATGCAGTTTGGTAATGCAAGAGTGATATGGCTTGTGGGGGGGGGGGGGGGGATGGGGGGAAGGAAAGGAAGCCTAAGAAAAAAGTTACGTGAGATTGCATCACATTTTTCAACTGTTAAATTCAGAAAAGAAACCAGATGCAGCTTAGCATAAACGCTATTCCTATTGCGGGAACCTCCAAAATATGCTGCCAGTTAAGCAAAATCCCGAAGTGACATCTATTCCACAAGATCAGTTTCAAAGTATCCTTGGCAGCAAGCAAATTGTACCAGCTACCATCTTTGCAGTGTAGTCATTTTAGGGCAAGTACAGGATCAAGACACAGGCCAGCCCTCATCCTGAATACAAATCTCTTTCAGGCTCCTTGCAATTGCTGGCTAGCTATTTACAAAACTTTTAGTGTGCAGCAGTTCTCTTGTAGCAATTGAGATCCCTATCAGACAACAAGATGACAGAGTATCTTTCAGTTAGGTTAAAAAAAATCTCAAAGGTGAAAGCAAGCCCAGTGAGCATGACTCTTGACAAAACAGCTATAGAAGTTTCCTGAAGATATGTGCCTGTGCTAACATATCCTACCAGTTAATGAAAAACAGTGTATAAAAGTGCTGTCTATGACTGAAGTTAGCCAAGGAAGGTGCAGCATAAACGGAAGAATTACTTCCTCTCTTCAGGCAGCTTGAAGGAACTTCTGCCTCCCTAATCCCACAAGCAAGGGAGCAACAAAGAATCAAATAGTTATCTACCAGCAGAAACAAGAGCAGATCTTTTGTCAATATTTGTAACAAATTATCACACAAAAAGGAGAAGGCCATCACTGCTGTGATAGGCGGAAGATACCCAACTTTG